GGGTTTTTTTTAAATTTTTTTTTTTTACAATTGGGGTTAAGTGACTTGCCCAGGGTCACACAGCTGGTAAGTGTCAAATGTTTGGTCTGAGTCTGGATTTGAACTCAGGTCCTCCTAGCTTCAGGGCTGGTACTTTATCCACTGCGCCACCTAGCTGCCCCCAAACTGGAAGGTTTTTGTGTGCTCCTGGTCAGACCCCATCCCTGGTGTCCCTTTGCCTGTCTACCTGTCTTCCCTTGGGCTAGAGAAATGACTCACTGTGATTTTTTTTCTTAGATTTCCTGATCTGAATTGAGTGATATATTTTCTGGATCTATGAGGAGGGTGTGCATGTGTATGTATACATGCATGTGTATGAGTGTGTGTGTGTGTGTGTTGTGTACAAGGAAGGAGAGTTGACTAAATTCTTCGCTGCTGCTCCACATTTTTTCATTAAGATGCCATATTTTTGGAAGGCCATTGAAAAGCTGGGAGATGTCTAGAAGAAGAGGCAACTAGAATAATGCAAAGTGTCGGAAGAAATGCCATACAATGAGCTGTTAAAGAAATTTGAAATGTTTAATCTAGAGAAGGACTGACTTGAATCAGAGTCCATAAGTAGGGCATTTTCAAGTCAATTGTGCAACCTCAATTTCATTTGCTTAAATTTTTTAAATTTCCAAAGTGCATCTTGTATTAAATCAAATGCAGAATATTTCTCTGTCCATGGTTGGAAGAAAAAACAAAAACAAAAACAAAAACAAAAACAAAAAAAACAAAAACAAAAACAAAAACAAAAAACATTGAGTTTGGGCTGTGTAGATTAATTTGCTCTACAGAGGGCAGGGCTAATAGCAATGTTGAGTTACATTTAGGCTTGATAGCAGGAAAAACAAAACAAAATAAACTTCCTAACAATTAGCATTATGCACAAGCAGAAAAGATTGCCTAAAAAATTGAGGTTTTCTAGCTGGATGACATCCAGTCGATGGTGTTGTAGAACCGGTAAAGTACAGATTTGCTGTCAGATAAACTGGGCTCAATTCTTGGTTACGTCATATCTCTGGGTCTCCTTTTCTTCATCTATAAAATTAATTAGACAGGCCCCTTCAGTTCAATCATTCTTTGTGTCTTGGTCAGTTGTGGACTGGACTATATAGCCCTTAAGGCTGCTTTCAACCCTTAGATTGCACGATCATGGATTTATATCAACAGAGCTTAGGAAACTGCCCGGCACGTTAGTTAATAATTAGTTAATAATCATACAGGTAGTGATTAATACATGATGAGTATGGTTTTCAGGAAACAGATGAACCAAGAAAAAGTCCTGAATTTGGACACAATAATAAGTCAGGATGCATTGATGATGTCATACTTCCAAAGTCCCAAAGTTGAGTCAAATGACTCAACATTATTAACTTATACAATTGTATCTGTGGCATTGACAGTAAAGAAGAGGCATTACCATCTGCTTTGACACTGAACCCTAAGGAGCATGGAAGCTTATCATCTGACTTGCATCTGAAACCTTCATATATGTATTGTTTCCACCAATAGAATGTGAACTCCATAAAAGCAGGGGCTGTCTTACTTTTTAATTTGTATCCCTAGCACTTAGCACAGAGCTTTGCATATAGTAAATGCTTAATAAATGCTTCATTCATTCATGGATTTAGAGGTGTAAGCCATGATCTAGTATAACCCCCTCATTTGACACATGAGGAGCCCAAGACCTAGAGAATGTTATCAACCTTTGCTCATGGTTGTACAACTAAGAAATAGCAGGGATTTAAACTCATCTTCTAATGCCTTTGTTCCTTTCATTGTACTCAGTAGCCCTTCAAACCTATGAAAGAGCTGGAGACTTTAGTTATGACTTTCCTGCTAAGCCACAGTGGTTTTGGACTTGAGATGAAATGGGAAAGTCCTTTACTTTGAGAAGATATCACCTTGTTTTTTCCCTTTTTTATTTAGAGGTAACATACTTGTTATGCTAAATGAGGGAAAGGAAATGAGCCCTGCCAGGAAAGGATTGGATGATGTGATAGAGTTTGAATCCCAGAATTTAGAGTGTTTACTTTATGAACAGAGCTGGTATTGGGCACTACTTTACTATTTCTTTTCCAAAGGAAGGGAGGAAGGTTTTCATCTAGTTTTTATTCTTGCAGTAGAAAATTATGTTTTGGGAGAAAATAGTTTCCATAAATTTGAATAGCTAACTATTCTTCCTTTTTCAATAACACTGTGTTGAATTTGAAAATCCACATCATTCACCTGGTTATTTGTGAACAGCTTGAAAATGCAGATAACAAGGTTAGCACCACTCCAAGTTTTTTCATTTTCTGTCTGGCCTGGTAGCCCTGAAGAAAGCAGCAACAACCAACAGCAATATTTTTTTTTCCCATTCATTTAATTTTCATTAAATGCATCACTAGGGATGTGCCAAGTAGTCTATTTTCTCTGCATATAACAGGAGAATCACAGCCACCAAGCCTTCCCACACCCCTCACATACCTCAAAAACACGGTAACTCTTTGCAGACCTTAGAGCCAAGATTTTTATTTTTTTTTTCTTGGAAAGCCTTGCTCTTTAGGTCTATGATCAGCCTCTGTGGATTTCTAGGGAAGCAGCAATACACTGGAGACAAAATACTAGAGAAAAAATGCAGCAGTGGACCAGGAACCAAGAAACGTGGTTTCCAGTCTTTGTGTGGCCTTGAAGAGATTGCTTCCCACTCTGAGGCCTCAGATTCCTCATCCATGAAATGAAAGATAGGACCAGATGGTCTCTGAGATCCCTTTCAGCTGGAATCTTTTGTGATGTGGGGCAGAATCTAAGAGATTGAACTTCAGGGAGTAGACATTTCTGTCTCCTTCATATTGACCAGGTGATGAAAGTGTAAGGAACCCAATTTCATGTTTGGCAGCAAGACAGGGGGACGTTACATAGATGCATTAACTCCTCAACATTGGCAACACCCATATTCAGTCTTTCGTATCTCTTTTACTAGATTGTAAATTCCTTAAAGCCCAGAGCCATCACTCACTCAATTAATTTGTATCTGCTATTTAATAGTTGTATGTCCAAGGATTAAGTTAAATATTCGGAACCTCAATTTCCATGTCTAAAAAAATCAGATAATAATACCTATTATGCTTTCCTCCCAAGGTTGTTGGGATATATACAAATGAAATCTAAGGTGTCCCAAAAGTATTAGTTTGGTTTTAAGTAAAGCTTTTTTAAAAATGGGGTCACAAAGAGTTGAACACAACTGAAAATGACTGAACAACAAAAACAATTTTATCATCCCCTCCACAAGCCCTACTCCCATGATACCTGGTAGCATAGGAGTGATTTTGGGTTCTTGAAGGATGTACCAGCTAAAAATAAACTATGGCATTTACTATCAATCTGGAAAAGTTTCAAGTATCATCTTAGAAATGGTTTCCATCTGCCTGATGGAGCTAAAGAGACCAAGTGGAATCCTTCTTTCAGATGGAAGCTCTTCAGAACTTGAAGTCAGATACCATGTCTGCCCTTAGTCTTCTCATCTTTAGGATAATTATTCCTCATTCCTCCACTCATTCTCACATGACATGAACCTGAGGAATGGCACTACCCTTGTTTCTCCAGCATCTTTTGGATGCTCTTTAACTTAGCAAGGTCATGGATTTGGATCTAGGTTTTTCAACTGCAGACCCAGAACTCCTTCTTACCCTAGGATTCTGAAAACTTTTTGTATGTTTTGGTCCTGTTCGGCAGTCTGATTTGCCTTTACTTTTCTCAGAATAATTTTTTAAATGAATAAAATAAGATACATAGGATTATAGAGGAAATCACTAATATTGAAATATAGTTACTGAAATATTTTTATAAAAATAAGTTCATAAACCCAAGGTTAATAACCCTTCTTTGCTGCTATATCTATTACAATACTATACTCTTGCCTTGCAGACAATAGACAAGCTCTCATTGGCCCTTTTTAGGAGACAGGCAGATATCGGTTCAGTAAAGTACCACCTGTTAGCTGCAATGTTCCACCATCTCTGTACATCTGCATAGCCCATCATTGTTTTCCTTCTGGGAGTTCTTCCATTCTAGGGAGCAGACGCTTACCAAGACATACTTGGTAGTCAGCAGGGCAGCAAGAATGAGCCATCCTTTGCTGCATTGACACACCTCATGGGTAAGCGTGCAAACTTCGGACACTGTGAGGAACAATTATTAAAATGAAGAAGACTCCTGTAGTAATCAGGCCACATTAGGATGATGAGATAAGGATAACAAGTATCTTCCTTGAGAATTTGTGTTTGTTTCTCCTTTCAAACCTTCACAATCCAAACCAACCACCATGATTTCAACAGCCTATGGTTTAAGATTCAAATGGATTTTTCTTTATCCAGATGCTTCAATATTAGTCAACTATAGAGGAAATCCTAAACATTTTGGGTATGATCATACTCATGGTATGAATTAAATATCCAAACTGCTTTCTAAATTCTTTAGCCTTCTCACATAGAGGAAGGCTTTTCTCCAATTTAAATTTTGAGGACAGATTTATCATAGGTTCTGGAGAAAGGGAATATTGAGGGGAGGTGAGACATGACAGAAAACCTTAGAATATTTGAAAGGTTGGTATGTGGAAGAGGGAATACATTAATCTTGCCTTTTCTTACAATGCAAAGGATAGAAGTTTAAGGAAAATAAAAAGATTTTGACTCAAAGTGAGGGAAAAAATACCTCCCTTTCTAACAATTAGCACTATCTTAAAGTAGAATGGATAAGTTGATTTAGAAGGTAGTTAAGTTTTCTGCCAATAAAGTAGAGAATGGATGATGATTTGATGGGGATGTTATAAATGGAATTTATGAAACAAATTTAAACACCAAACAAAATCTGCTTCTTCCTTTTTCCCTAAATCTTGACATTTTATAGTGAAGGGTGATAGAAACAAAGCAAAACAAAATCCCAAGCCTCCTCAGACAGAACAAGTGTAATTCACACTTTTCCTCTACCCTGGACACTGTTTTCCAATAGCGAAAGATATTTACAATTCATCTTTTCCATTCAGGAGTAACTTCTTTGTTTCTTCATGTTGCTCTCTATCCACATCAGTTTCTTGATCTTGTTTTGAGTCTATGTGTTCTGTTGTATCATTTTCATATTCTTCTTTAGGCTGAAAAATTGAGTGAGGTTGGATTAAATGATTTAAATTTCCTTCTACCCTATCTGTGATTTATGATTCTAATTGTTCTATTATTTCCAAGACAAATAACAAAACAATTGAATAGTTAATGGGGGTGGAGCCTGTTGGGAATTTAAAACTTAGATCTTGTGTCCTATGTCTTTAAAAGCTGGTATGCCATGTAGCTCTACACTGTGGCATTTTGTGTATAGAAGCTATCGTTCAAGAGAAAAAAAGACTAATTTTAAAGTTGTAAGACCTCCATTTCAATCCTTCCTTTTCATTTTGTTAATTGGTTAACCTTGAGCAAATCACTTAACCTCCCTGAGCTCTACTGTTTTTCATCTGAGTGTAGGCCTGTACCTGCCTGGTCTCCATGTGATAGCTTCCATCTCTGACTAATCCAAGGAAGGAATAATTAATTTCCCTCTCAATCTCATTTCTTTCTCACCATAGGAGGAAGGCAGACTTAGTCCAGACTCACAATACTACTAATGAAGTTTAAGGTCTGATAGCATCCCAGCTTTGTGTCCTTCCCACTGGCCTGCTCTCTGTTCTTTGTCCAGATTCACTTAGTTCTTAGTACCCTTTCCCATATAACTGTGAGGTATACACACATACACACACACACACACACACACACACATGTATGCACATATGTATATACACACATGTATATTATATCTGTGTGTTTATGTACATACATATATGTGTGAATATATAGGTATATATACATATATTCACACATATACACACACATATATGTATACACATTTGCACATATAAAATCTTCCATTTAAACTATCTATAAATGAGTTGTATCCAACTATTAGGTGGTGAGTTCCGCAACGCCAGGCATTCTCACTTTTGTCTTTATACTTCCAGTGCTTAACACAGTGTTTGGCACACAAGAAGTGTTTAATAACTGCTTGTTGAGTGGTTTTATTGCCAGCCTTCTAGTGCCTGCTCCCCAGGCTCTGTTCCATACAGCTGTCCTTTCCCTCCTCCAGGTTCATGGCACCCTATCACCCTGCTCACCCAGCTTCTCTGCCTCATCCAAATGATGCACTCTTCTTTCTGGGTCCATGCCCAGCTGATATAATTCCATGTTTATGTTCAAAGGACTTGACAGCTCTTGTCTTGGAATAGCCAAGATACTCCAGTTTCCTGCAGTCAATAGTAGTTCAGCCCACATCCCAACTGTGGATTCACTGATGTTGCCCTAGAGAGTATCCATTTATGGGCTGAAGTGAACTCTCCCACATTAGATATAACTGGGGTTAACATTACTTGTGCTGTGTATCCTGCAATGTTGTGGGGTAGATAAAATCAAATCATAACTGTCTTGTGAACCACAGAGTACTACATAAATAGCAGTTACAATATACATAAGAATCACATAGTTACCAGCATTGTTTCAGTTTTAAATCTTCAGGGTGAGCCTGAAGCAAAATTGGGAAGCTTATTTTCAGCACCCATCTATCCCCAAAGGGGACTAGAGCCTTGCATCTCCCCTCAATGTCTTTATATGCAGTAGCTTACTGCTGGTTTCCAGGACCCCAGAACTTTTTCTCTTTTTCCCCAGACTTTACAATTTTAGACTCCTGAATAGCTCCATCATGCCTCTGCTCCAGGGGATCAGAATTAACCCAGCAAAGCAGTGCTGAAAGAACAAGTTCTTTTCTCCCATGTCCCTCCAAATATTTGCATTTGAACGAACATGTCCAGAGCCTTCAGCAAAGAATTAATAATGACTGAATTCCAGATATCATGACATGGCTTTTGGGGAAGATATTTTGAAATAGAGAGGTATGTATAAGATATAGTCCCAGCAGGAGGAAGCACTACATCTTAAATAATGAATCTTGCCCAGTTTTGTATTTTCACTCATTCTTATCTTGACATTCGTTCACACATAAATCTTCAGCTAAAAAAAAAATCAGGCTGAATGTCATACTTTAGTTTTCCTTGAAACTATTAATGAGATGCAGCTTTTCCCAATTAGAATAGCAAACTTTCTAAGAAATGACATGTTTTTCTGATGCTATTCATAAGCTTAGATTATGATAATGCAACATGTAAGCAGAATTGTATCTCAATGTATATCATGGTCTGAATAAATATGAATAATAGTTAATAGTAAAATTCAAAGCACTTTATTTAAATTGATCCTTGTAAGATAGGTAGAGTAGCATTTTACAGATAGAGAAACTGAGACTAAATGTCTTGCCCAAACTTGGGGCACTTCGTGAGTGGTTGAGCCAGAATTTTATCCTGAGTCCTTGGGTTTCAGAGCTAGGGATCATTCCTCTACCAAGGGTGGGAACCTGAGGCCTCGAGGTCATGTGTAGTCAAATCTTTTTATTAAGGGGATTTGTTCTTTGAAGTTTGGATTCAGTCAAAGGGCCACACTTGAGGACCTAGAGGGCTACATGTGGCTTCAAGGTCATGTGTTCCCTGCCCCTGCATACCATTCTGTCTGACTTAGTTCAATGATAGTAACACATGCTATATTCGTCAGGGAAGACAAGGAGCAGAATGTTGACCTTTTGTCATCCCTCAATTGATAAACTCATTTCTATCCCCAGTCTTTTAGCTTTCTAATTTATGTCCACCCTGTCAGCTTATTATATTTCCTGCTTGCCATTTGTAGATTTCATCTCTATTAGGGCCATCTGAAGCTGACTAATTGGCAATCTCACTCTCAACATGTATGAAAAGGTAATTATAACGAGGAACGAATGGATGGATGGAGTCCAAAAAGCATCTCAACTTGTATCCAATAATGAATCAGTCTTGTTTTTCTGAACCTTTAACCTCCTTCCCCCTCTCCTTTCCTCCTCTTCTTTTTCCTCTTCTTTTTCTCCCCTCCCCTCTCCCTTCTTCCTCTCCCTTTCCTCCATTCCTCACCCAAGTCACTCTCTCTCTCCCTCTCCTCTCCTTACTATCTTCTGGCAGCATCTAATTTAGCAGATTCACAAGGCTACCTTCCAAGCATCCTGTCAAGAGAACTGTACATTTTATCCTTTAGACCTGTGTTTTATTATTGCTTGTGGGCACACTATTGAAATTAGATGCATTCAACTTTGCTTTCTCTTGGTCCACAAGTCATTTGATCCATCCCTCCAGCAAGGAGAAGAGCTACAGTACTGTCAGAAATCTGCTTGGCTTTGCAGATCGTCTTCTGACCTGGAGAGGCACCCCCATAAAATTATTTGCAAACACGAGTTTGTCTCTGTCACCATTTTCCAGGAGGTGATATACTTTAAAAAGCATACTCTTCCTTTGTACCATATAAAGGATGGTTTGCTAAACTATATTAAGGCTTGGCACATTTTAGGGCTTCAGGGAACCTTCACTTCATTCCTCCTCCTGCTGTTTTAGGCAGGACCTTTTTGTTTCATACCTGGAATATTACAAGAATTTAATCCAAATGGCCTCTGGATTCTCCCCAGTCTAGATGACACATTGTCATCAGATAAAAGTCCCTAAGACATTATTTTTCTTGTGACCTTCCTTGGCTCAAAAACCTTCAAAGGCTGTCCTTTACATAATGCAAATAGTCAAAATGATAATACTTTGATTCAGTTATGAAAAATAGACATTTTACCAACTTGCATAAATAGTCTGTTGGATATTAAACATAAAGGAACAGTGACAGATTAGTCACTTTTCCCGGCATTATTTTTATCTCAACTCCATCAAACAAGAGGAGAAGATTAATATGAGTACAATGATTGTAACAACAATGAAATCACATAATGGACAGAACTCTTGCCTTGGAGTCAGGAAGAGCTACGTTCAAGTCTCATCTCTGACACATATGGCATGTATGAACCTGGGCAAGTCACTTGACTTCACAGTGACACGAACAGCTCTCTAGGATGTTCAGTTTCAAGGAGGTACTGATCTTCATTGGTAGTTAGGAATTTCCTCACCAGGAGTTTCATATGGTAATGAAGCCCTAGGTCCCATCCAAAGCATGCTAACCGACACTTATAGCATTTCAGTTTGCAAAACATTTTATGTATATTATATTTTTTGAGTATCAGAAGAACCCTCTGAATAGGTGTTCCAGGCCATTTTCAAATGAGGAAATAGGTCAGAGCTAGTAGGTGTTAGAGATGATAAGGAAAAGTTAAAACCCCTTTCCTTGGCATATAAAGACCTACCAACCTTTTCTTCTGCTGCCCTGACCTATGGCTTGACTTCATCTTCTCTTTGTTGTACTTAAATCCAAGCTCTGTAGCTCCAAATCTCATGCTCCTTCCACCACGGTAGGCTGCTTCAAGGAATGCTAGAACATAATGCATGTTTTTGTCTCATAGTGGGATATCACAGAAACATCAACCATCATGGAACATTGGATTTGGAGTCAGAAAATCTGGGCTCAAATCCTGCCTTTTCCAGTTGTTGGCTATGTGACCTTGGGCAAGTTGTTTTACTTCTTGGTATTTTGATGTTCTCATCTGTAAAAGAGGGAGTTGGACTAGATGGCCTTCAAGATCCTATCTGGCTCCAAACACATGATTCTGTATCTCAGCCTCAACCCATACCTTCCACCAAGAAATGTGCATCTCCTTTCTTTTTATCTAAATCCTAAGGATCCTTTAGGCTCATCTCAAGCCCTTCCACCTATATGAAACCTTCTCTGGCTACGCTTGATGAACTCTCTGTGCCATTGTACGCAAAAAAACCAAAAAAAACCCCAACCTGTGTGTGTTGTCTCAACTCATTGCAAGGTCCTTGAGGACATAAACATTCTCTGACACTTTTTATGCCCAAGAGTGTCTAATATTCTGTGGATGCAGTGTGAATTCAATAGAGCTTGTTGGATTAATTTTTGGAGAGAAGAAAGTAATCTGGGGTATTACACTGTGCATACCTCCTAGGTACATAATTATATTCATGCTGTATCCTCCATTAGAGTGTGAGCTCTTTGAAGTTAGGGACTGTATGTAAAGCCTTTCTTTGAATCCTTAGTGCTTATT